TTTTCTTTATTGTGTCTATTTCAGCTTTCATGCTTTGAACTGTTTCAAGAGCTTCCTTCACTTGCTTGGATGTTTTTTCTTGGCTTTCGTTTATTTCTTGAATTTTTTGGTTCATCTTTTCCTCCATTTTGTTTAATTTCTTGTTTGCTTTTTCTTCTATTTCTTTAAGGTATTTTCTTGTTTCCTCTTTAAAGGTCTCTATCATCTTGCTGAGTTATTTTTTGAGGCCCATCTCATGTTCATGCTCTGTGTTGGGCTTTTCAGATCTTGCTGGAGTGGAGTCCCTAGATTCTGGTGGTGTCATATTGGTCTTTCTGTTGTTGAGTGAAATCTTATTCTGTCTTCTTCCCGTATCTTCTTTTAGTGGGTGCAGGTGGGGGTCTGTCTATCCCCTCTTGTGACCCAGTGGTGTGTGGGGGCCAGGAATAGCCTGGAATTTATTATATAGCCTAAACTGGCTTTGAATTCTGGATCATTGCACTTCTGCCTTCCCGATGCTGGGAGTACAGGCATGAACCACCACTACTGCAGCTTTTTTCTTCCTCCTCTTCTTCCTATTCCTCCTCATCCCCTTCTTCTTTTCTTTTGAGTTGGAGTCTTGCTATGTAGTCTAGTTAGCCTTGAAATGAGTGCAGAGATCTAATAAGGTATTTTAAATATTCACTTGTTTTTGGGGGTGTGTGTGTGTGTGCGAGCGCGCATCCGTGCATGTGCAAACATGTTTGTGCTTGTGGAGGCCACATAATATGAACCTTAGGTGTCTTCTTCAATCACTCTCCAAGTTATTTCTTCTGGACATGGTCACATGCAGCTCACGGATAGGCTAGACTGGCTGTCCAGGAAGCTCCAGGAACCTGTCTGTCCCCACCTCCCCAGTTATGGGATTACAGGTGCACACAGCTATGCCCCAATTTTTACACACATGCTGGGAATCCAATCTCAGGTCCTCATGCTTGCATGACAAGCACTTTACCAGCCTAATCATTTTCCTAGCTCTTGAAATTTTACATTTGGATAAAACATTTTAGAAGTTGATATTTCTTCTAAATGTGTATGGCTGTTATCTTCTGGAATCCAGACTATTGGATCACAGACAGCTATTCTTGGATGAAAGGTTTTTGATTCTAGTTCTTTATAGGTGATGTTCTGTATTTCATGTTTCATGTCATCAAAACATAGCCAATGTTTGTCTTAAACTCAGTGAAGCTAAGTTTGACCACCTGAGTCATGTGGTAACAGCCTGATCTCTTCTATAAAGGTAACCTTTTTTTTTTTTGTCAATTATAAAAGATCTATGGGCAGGTGGCAGGATGTGGACCTCCAAATTCCCATAACCCAGTTGCCTAATGGTTTTAACATCTGTTCCTTCATATACATTTATTAGTTGGCACTTGTCATGGTTAGATTTTTTGTTGTTGTTAACTTGCCACATGCTATAGTAATCTGGGAAGAGGGAATCTCAGTTGAGGAACTGCCTCCATCAGACTGGCCTGTAGGGTCTATGGAACATTTTCCTGATTAATGATTGATGTATTTGGTAGGGTCCATATCACTGTGGATGGTGCCACCCAAAAGTTGGTGGTCCTGGGTGGTATAAGAAAGCTGAGCAAGCCTTGGAGGAGTAAGCCAGTGACAGTGTTCTTCTATGGCCTCAGCTTAGTTCCTACCTCCAGGGTCCTGCCTTGAGCTCCTGCCCTGGCCTATTTAATGATGAACTACAACTATAAGCAGAAATAAGCCCCTTTCTCCCCAAGTTGCTTTTGTTCATAATCTTATCACAGCAATAGAAACCAAGCTAGGGATTCATCTACATAGCGCTATGTAGTTGAGGTTGTCCCTGGAACTCTGGATTCTCTTGCTTCCACCTCTCAAGTGCTGGAAATACAGATGGGTACCATCTTATCCAGCATGTTCATCTCAAAGCTGCTTAGATAAAACTTCAAGTCTAGACTGTACCTGGCACATGGCACGAGCTTGGTAAAAGTTAAAAAATGAATAGTCATATCACAAGTGTTTTAAATTTATTATGACCTTGCCATCTGGGACTCATAACTCCAGCGGTAAGGGAAACAACAGAATAAAAAATGGCACACCTTTTTGGGGTATAAATTGTTGAAAGCTTCTAGAAACTATTCAAATAAGCTGAAACAAAAATATCTAATCTCATTAAAGGAAGAATATACTTTGTTTTCAAATACACATTTTGTTTGTGGTTTTATAGTTGCACTTGGAAATATACATCTGACTCCTCAGGGTTAACAACCTTCCACTTGTCTTTTGGGGTGCTTTGCAGGAAATGACTGAGAAGTAGAAGGTGTGTTTTGTGATATCTATTATACATCTTCATGTAAGAAGGTAAGCTCTGAAGACCTTGGCGTGGTGGCTCATGCCTATAGTGCCTTGGGAAGTAGAGGCAGGAGGATCCGGAGTTTAAGGCCATTCTCTGCTACACAGCAGAATGTGAGGCCCTCCTGGGTTATATGAAACTATTTCAAAAAAAGGAAAAAAAAAAGCTAAGGAGGAAACCATCTATTGTTAACATCGGTAGTGGTGGTTTAACTCTTTATAAACAATTTTCACATTACCTCCTCTTAGCCTCACCACTTCCTCTTGATTAGAACAGACAGCAGGAATCGTCAACATCCTCTTTTTACAAATTAGGAAACTGAGATTACTATTAAATGTGTTCTAAAGGCCTCCTGGGGCAGGGGGATTGCCACTATTGACAAATAATTATTAAGATGCAATTAACTCTTTACTGTGCATGTGAGCACCGTTGCTGCTAAACTACCGATCAAACCTAAGGTCCCTCCAAGAGAAGCCACAATTTGACCACCGGACACATCTCCAAACTCCTCCCAAATGAAGTCTCTATGAACTCTATTGTAGTAGGAGTCATGACTTGCCTGCTGAAGGGGAAACTCAGCTGGAGATTTGTAGCTGAGGAACAAAGGGCGTGAATGAGTCAGTGGACAGAAAATTACTAGCAGGACAACAATGGCGGGGGTATTCTTGCTAAGGGCAGACTGCAGATTTACATACATCAAAAATGGGAGAGCCAATCTGTTCCGACAGTTAAGAATCAAGAATGATCAGACAGCAAGGATTCTTGCTCAAATTAAGCTCAGCTAGAACCAACAGGAAGGCCAAGGTGCGGGCCTCTCACAGAAGCGGGCTTCGAGGTAACTAAAAAAAAAATTGGTGAGGGAGAGCCCGTCACGGTTCCATTCCACGGGAGAAGAGCGGCGACAGGACGCAGGAGCTGTGGCATGGTGTACCAGGGTTCAGCTCTCCTTTAAAGGAAGCGTCGCCTATCACTAAGGGCTGAATGGAAAAAGAGAGGGCTCCCAATCCCTGTAGCTCGCCCCGCCCCCGTCAGCCCCCCCCCCGCT